TCTGACATCTCTCCTAAACCTTCCTCCAATCACCTTAAAATTATACCCCCTCGTAATAGTCATTTCTGCCGTGGGAAAAAGTCTTTGGCTATCCACTCTATCTATGCCTCTCATCATCTTGTACACCTTGATCAAGTCACCTCTCATCCTTCTTTGCTCCAATGAAAAAAGCCCTAGCTCCCTCAACCTTTCCTCATAAGACCTGCCCTCCAGTCCAGGCAGCATCCTGGTAAATCTCCTCTTCACCCTTTCTAAAGCTTCCACATCCTTCCTATAATGAGGCAACCAGAACTGACAGGCAGGAAAGTGAAATTATGGGTAAGGTCAGATCAGACACTATTGTATTTTGTGGCAGACCAGGCTCCATTGTCCAAATGGCCTATTCCTGCTCCTATTTTTTTTTAATGACCTCACATGGAATTAAGTTGAATTGACATCAGTCTTGCCAGATAATGATACTCTGATCATAACCATGAACAATTTTAGTTTTACTTAAGGCCAATGGTCTCATCAGCCAGAGAGCACTTAAGTAGGCAAACTGAATTAGGGTCTAGGCCCGAAACGTCAGCCTCTCTGCTCCTATGATGCTGCTTGGCCTGCTGTGTTCATCCAGCCCTGCACCTTGTTGTCTCGGATTCTCCAGCATCTGCAGTTCCTACTATCTGATTCAAACTGAATTATCATCTTTTTAGAAATGAGAAGTGATTTCTGTACCAGGACCTGATGTCGTTTTACAACTAAAAGAATAAAGCTCCATTGTCCTTGCAAAGATAGCACCTTCAGCAGCTTTCTTGATCACACAGGCTTTATGCCAAATTTCATACAGACTTCACACTCCCTCAGTAATTATGAGGAATCGATGACATTGACAGATTATGAAACTTGATGCTAGTAATATCAAAAACATGAAGTAAGGGTGCCACAAGGGAGGGCAACTAATGTTAACGTACAGTCTTTTTCAATTAGTATGAATGACTGGGAAATTGAGAGAGCTCTTTTATTCCAAGTTGTTTTTTTTTCTTAAAGCAATATGATTCCACTAATGTAGGCAGATTGCAGCAAAATCAGTGATGTTAAAAAAAGTCAATAAATAACATTATCACTGAAGACATTGACTTTTTTTATTTGTTTATTGGATGTAGGCATCGTTGCCTGCTCGAGCATTTGGTGTCAATCCCTTATTACCCTGCAACTGAGTTGCTTACTCTATTTCAGAGGGCAGTTAAGAGTCAAGCACATTGCTGTCAGTCTGGAGTAATATGTCGACCCGACCAGGCAAGGATGAGATTTATTTATCTGAAGGATATTAATGAATGTTTGGCCATTCTAAACAATCAATAATGGAGGCCACAAGACCAACTTTTAAGTCCAAATGTGTAGTGAATTCAAGTTTCACCATCTGCCATAGTGGGATTCAAACACATGTCCCCAGATCATTCATGTGGGATCTAGTGTTATTATTACTCCACCACTGACTTTCCCCAGGATTCCTCCTGTTCCAATGGCCTTATTTGTAAATTCCTCTTGTAGTAACTAGGCTTTCTACTACAAGTGCCTAACATTTATCCTTATGTGAAATCTGCATTTTATTTCCAATGGGAGTTTAATCGTAATTGGTCTTCCCACTTTTATAGTTCAGTGTTAGCCATGGCTCAGTAGATAGCACTCTTGCTCGAGTCAGACGTTTCCGGGTTCAAGTTCCATTTCAGGAAATTTCTAGTAAAAGCAAAATGCTGCAGCTGTTAGAGATTTAAAACTAACACCATAAATGCTGGAGAAACTCAGCTGGCAGCATCTGTGGAGAGAGAGAAACAGAAGTCAATGTTTTCAGTTGGATACACCTTGTTCTGAACTCAATGTTTACTTTTTCTCCGCAGATGCTGCCAGACCTGCTGACATTTTCCAGTGTGTTCTATGTTTGGTTCAGGAAGTTTCTAGGCTGACAATCTAATACCAAGGGAGTGCTGCAATGTCAAAGGCATTGTCTTTAAAATGAGATGTTAAATTCAAAATTGTGCATGCTTCCTTGCACATAAGTACTAAAGCATTTGTGCATGACATCACACTTAAAGTGCATGTGGATACGTCAGTGCTTGGAGCATTGCATTCCTGAATGAGCACACATGCATAGTTGCCCACATTTGTGGGTATTAGCAAACACTGCTAAATTAAGATGCAATCTGCTTTCAAGGGACCTTGGGTGATATATTTTTCTCAACCAATATCATCACAGATTATCTAATCATTATCACATTCTGTATGTAAACTGTTTCCTTTAGTATCACAGCAGCCGCACTTCAAAAAATAGTTTTACAGAAAATGTGACGGTTGTGAAATGCACTCTTTTCTAACACAAGTGAACAGACTATCTGCAGCACTCTTATCACTGTCTACCAGCAGAAAAGGAGAAATGAGGTCTTGAATCTTAACCTGTATGTCAGCTATTCCCTGCCGTAACTAGCCATCAAAGCAATATTCAATTGTTCTTTCCCAATGTAGTAGAAAATCATATGTTAATGGTGAGAGGAAGTATTCAGCACTTGTGCACCATATTAGTATCAGTACAGATCTCACACAGTAGAAAATTATTAAATAATCTGCATTTCTTGATGATTACCCATCTCCAAACATGACAACAATTTTCTGTTTATATATAGAGTTTCAATTGAATCAGGAAAAAATATATCCTGGCAAATTTATAAAGCATTCCTATTTATATAGATACTTTTAATGCTTGTAAGTTTTTAAAAGTATCAAAGCCATTATGCTCGACTTCATCAAGACCGGAGTCAGTAACAAAAACAAAGTTGCTGGAAAAGATCAGCAGGTCTGGCAGCATCTGTGAAGGAGAAAGCAGAGTTAACGTTTCAGGTCCAGTGACCCTTCCTCAGAACCAAAATCAGTAAGGTTGATGATGATTAATCAAGTATGAATGGCTTGATAGATTTTGAAACGGCGTGTTGAAGAGAATGCAAGAATTCCAAACCGTTGTTGTGGTTGGAAATAGTGTTTCGCATCTGAAAGGATTTTGGAAAGGACCCGAGAGTAACTTTTTCACAAAAAATGGTGGTGGGCATATGGAACAAGCTACCAGAGGAAATGATGGAAGCTGGTATAATTACAACATTTAAAAGGCATCTGGATGGATATGAATAGGAAATGTTTAGAGGAATATGGGCCAAATTTTGGCAAATGGGACTAGGGCAGATTGCGATGTCTGGTCGGCATGGATAAGTTGGGCCTAAGGGTATGTTTCTGTGCTGCATAACTGAGTCTAAACCAAGGTAGGACTTATACAGTAAATGGTAAGGTTTTGAGGAGTGTTGTGGAACAAAGGGACCTAGGAGTACAAGTACACAGTTTGTTGAAAGCAACATCACAGGTGGACAGGGTAGTGAAGAAGGCATTTAGCATGCTGGCCTTCATTGGTCAAGGCGTTGCGCACAGGAGTTATGACGTTATGAGACAGCTGTACAAGTTGTTGGTGAGGCCGCACTTGGAGTATTATGTACAGTTTTGGTCACCCTGTTATAGGAAAGACATTGTTAAGCTGGTAAGTGTGCAAAGACGATTTGAGGATGTTGCCAGGACTAGCAGGCCTGAGTTATAGGGAGAGGTTGACCAGGATTTATTCCTTGGAACTTGGAGAATGGTGTATAAAATCAAGAAGGACATATAGTTAGGATGAATGCATATAATCTTGGATGGGAAAGCTTTAGAGGGATATGGACCAAATGCAGGCAATTGGAACCAGCTGAGCAGGCACTATGGTCAGCGTGGACTAGTTTGGACCTAAGGGCCTGTTTCCATGCTGTATTACTCTATGACTATAACATACCTGTGTGGATTTTCATCAGAGCTTCTTCAAACATATAAATGTTGTCTAAAATGTTATGAAAACCTGAATATTTTTAATATGAGCTATCACTTTAAACCTCAAATATTAACTAACGTTCCGAAGTGCACCTGACTGCAACGTAATCACAAAGCTTTTAAACTGAAAATGAATTAATACCAAGTGCAATCATTACTTAAATATTGGTGTTGCATTTTTAAAATTTAACTGAATGTCAAACAATAATTATGAAAGTAGTGTTTACTGGATATTTGATTTTGTAGGACAACAAGCATTTCTAATGTCTCGGGGCTGACAGTAAATCTCAATCACAAATAAGCAGTGGTCCATATCCAACTTTTGTATTGTGTATATAATAATAATAACCAAACAATAAAAATAACACTGTTACCCAGAGTCTCTCAGCAAATGGGCTTTCCCAGGTATTTCTTTCTCCCGTTCCGGTCAGATGTCAAGCTAGCTCACTCAAGTTCCTTCCCAGTTAACTCAAAAATGATAAGGACCACTTCCATTAAGTAAAGCTATACAAGCAAAGTACTTGGCCTGAACTGTTCTAATCACTTGTTTAAAACGAAACACTACATATTTCTCAAAAGCATCCTTAAAGGTTATGCAAAACAGTATTTGTTTGCTGTATTCTAAGCAACAAAATAATTTTCTACAACCTGAAATATTTAATCTCATTATTAGAGTTAATCCCCAAGAAAAAGCTGTTAACCTGTATTATTAGTGATAGTAAGAACGGCCAATGCTGGAGTCAGAGATAACACAGTGTGCAGCTGGAGGAACACAGCAGGTCAGGCAGCATCTGAGGAGCAGGAAAGCTGATGTTTCGGGTCCGGACCCTTCTTCAGAAAAAGTTCTGAGGAAGGGTCACTGGACCAGAAACGTTAACTCTGTTTTCTCCTTCACAGATGCTGCCAGACCTGCTGAGCTTTTCCAGCAACTTTCTTTTTGTTCCTGACTTACAGCATCCGCAGTTCTTTTGGTTTTTACTCTACATAGTACAGTTAGTAAACACGACCAGACAATGTGTGCGCTCAGGTCAGAGTCCAGACAGTAACTGGGGCACAGTTTCCAAGTATTGTTGGAGTAACAAAGTTAACATGAAAAATATTTCAGATCCACATAGTTAAAAAGAACCTTAAATGCAAACCCTTTGAATTTATTTTACAGTATATACACAACAGGAAACATCTGAATGGATCATGTCAGTAACTTGGCTAATCGACACAAATCAAAACATTTTGTTCCCGATGACCATAACCAAATGAAAACATGGAAAAATATATAAAAAGTAACAAGCCCATATATGCAATTATGTTGATACTTTGTACAAATATTAGGTACTGCAATTTGACTGAATCAGAATACCTATAATACCAATAATGCTCTTGTGCCGAGTGTTTCCCACAAAAATTGTATCTACATGAGGTAGAAACACTTAACTAACTTTTGCAGTGTATAAAGGAACATACAACAGTTCAGGGAGAAATTCTGATGTATGTTTATAGATTTGGCAGAATAAGGCTTACACAAAGAAAATTCAAATTGAAAAACTAAAATGGGATATTTCAAACCCTGTCATTTAGAAAAATCATGTTTCAGTTACAAAAGTTATTGGCAGCTGAAAATGTATTACTGAGTGATAATAATGCAATGATATAGTGTTACATCAAAAGTTGTGTATACTTTTATGTACCAACACCTTTTGAACATTGTGTGTTGGTATCAGTTAGTTTAAACTTTTTACAGTGTTTTCATTTATCCAAATACAAAATAGTACAATCTTATTTGCTTTTGGAGCCTTGCCAGTATGGGTTAACATGACGACAGCAGAGAAAGGCTACTATCATATCTACTTCTTACCAAGTAAAATTCAGATATCATCAGTATAGTAAATGTTGGCCAACCCAATTTTTCATTTTTAAAACATGATATATAACAGACATCAACAGCTATTAAACTGCAGCATCCTTCTACTACTCTTAAAATAGGACAATTAAATCCGAATGGATGCCCCAGAGTTCACCACATGAGTAAAATACATCACATTTTATCAGCATTATTGTGCAAACTTAATACCAGTGTACTTGCAAGGAAACTATTAAAAACAACAAGCATACAAATAGATGAAGGTTTAGATTATAATCCTTCAAGGTTACTCCAATTGATATCCAAATTACTAAATTACACTTAAAAATACAAGTGTTAGATGATTAGATGGGTATACTGCTCATTTCATGTTGCAAAATATATACTAATCTCAATTGAATAAAGTAAATTCCAAATAATTTCTTAAAAGCAGTACCCAAATTAAATTTTGCATCATGCAAACCTATACAAATCTGTACAGTGAAGATACTTAACTGTACACAATATGCACTACTATCTACATTAAGAGTTATAGCGTGTGACTTCAACAATATGAAGTACATACTGAAAAACTAAACATTTATATACATAGATTACAAGCACTTGTGTAACATTTTGAAGTTAAGGTGTTGTGGCACTTAAACATCCTCCACATAGATTTCATGCCACAATAAATAAAATATTGATTAGTTTTGTCTATGATAAATAGACATCACTGTGGCTTCTGAACAGTCTCAAACACCCTTCAATGCTGGAGAAAGCAATTGTATTTTCTTTGTTTATGTACACTCCCATGCAAAAATCTAATGGCGATTAGTAGCTGTTTTCATGGCCAGCCAAGATGTACAAGTTGCTATTAGCAGTTGGGTTGTCTGTTGGTCTGCTTTCTAGCACCACAACTCTACGAAGAAATAAAAAGCATATTTAATAATTTATTTATTATCTACATTTATGTAAACAACAACCAAATCAAAATCACAATTCAAAAAAGCTTGGGTGACAAAAGACCATATCTTATGTTCCATTCTACAGATTGCTAAGACTGTAAACTAAATTACACATTTATGGTGAGTTACCCATCTCAGGTAGAGCAACTAGTGACAGCATGGCAATTGATCACAGTGTCTCTAAGCCCAATGGTTGAAAAGGACAGAAGGGATTAAGAAAATGTTGGTGATTTGCTCTTGTAGTGAATGGCTTAAGTGTAGAATATAGGATGAACACAGGATGATCTCAGATGCTTTCTGGATTGATCCAGCTGTGACTTTTGTAGGTTCATATGTAATGAACTGCACTTACTAGAGAGTATGCTGTGCCCATGTAGCTATACCAACAAGGCCTATAGTAAAGTAAATTGGGGAAAAGAGGTCCTGGGCAATTTGAGCACTGTTAGAATTGTGCACACTAATTAAGGAACAGTTAAAATTGCAATCCCATTAAAATTTGATAACCAGTCTTGATTGATGAATGAGTCCACTGATCAAGGCCAGTTCATTTGATTGTGGTAAATCCTAAGTCAAAAAGTACACCTTTAATGGATGACTAAGAAACATCATTATATTTATGGAGAACTTAATTGCACAAACTAGTAATAATGGTTATTACTATTCTAATTTACTTTTAAATAAATTCCAATAATTGTAACCACTTTAAATATGGTCTTCAAAAATAACCCACTTCTCATATTTGTAAGCACTAATACTTTAATTTTAAAGTAAATTTAATTCATCCACACATCCAAATGCAGATTGTCTGTTCCAGCAAATTTACTTTATAAGTATCAAAAGCTACAATGTTTTAATATAATTCAGTCCCAACCTGTTCCTTTACACATTTTCACTATCTGATAGATAGAAAAGCTAGTTTTTTAAAAAATATAAAATGAAGATTTTTCCTTGCAACTTCTCTCCAATGCAAAAGTAAAATGAAACCTGTTTTGAAGAAGGTATTTAGCAATACAGAATGAGTAAATTGTTACTGCAGCATCATCACACATTTACCAACCTGTCAGAGCCTAAAAGTTTGAAGATTCTTGAATTATCACATATTTCTTGTGTAATCTAGGGGAAAAAAAGAGAGTTTCCGGGATTAACCAGCAATACATTTACAATATACTAACAGAGTTGGTCCTCAATTATGTTAGGACAGATCAAATTTGACAGCTTAGTATTTACAGTAACGCTTAATCCTCATAATGGAAAATCAAGTTTTGTTTTAGAATGAAACAAGACACATTTACACTGTACCACAATCCAATGGGGGATGATCAATATGAAAGTAAATTGGAATAATCCAAACATGCATCATCATATTGGGGACAGTAAGAACAGAGAAGGGTCCTGACCCGAAACATCAACTTTCCTGCTCCTCTGATGCTGCCTGGCCTGCTGTGCTCCTCCACCTCCACACTGTTATTTATGCAGCATATTTTAAGTGGCTTGAACTTCAATTTGTATTTAGTTTGTAATGTCAAATTATCTTCAATCAAAATTGGTTACAATACCAATAATGTTCCTTGTAAAATCTTTGCCACTGGCTTTTTGAAGCGGAAGCCCATGCCCCAGCATGCCAATCTGCATGCATAAAACCTTCAGCCACACAGCTTAGAAGAACATTAGATCAAAATATTTATGACTTTTACCTCATTTGACTTAAAGCTTCTCCCCTGCATTCCATGTTTCCAGAAAGCAAGAACACTGTCCTGTAAACAAACTAAAAAAGCAGAAATACAAATTGTCTGCTGAATGCCAACTTGCAAGATCAATCAATAAACGGTCAGATCCAAAATGGCATTAATAATTAGGTTTCAACAATGTTACAATGTTTGAGATATAGACTAGGAACACAAACAAGAAATACATTTTAGAACACAGTGAAGCTACTCAATGAGATGACATACAAATGAATTAATCAACTTTTTAGCACATGACACAAACTCTCTCAGCATTGTGTTTATGTCATATTAGTGGACAACTCAAAGAAGCCAATCTCAATTCATTGTTTTTTTTACCAACCAGGCTGCCAAATGGAACATGCTTTGATTTCAGGAGTAATATCTGGTCATCACAAGAGAAGAAACTCTCCTGTGAAAAAGTACGGTCCTTCTAACCACCAATACATCTGAAAGCCAGTGATAACTGAGAAAAATCAAAGGATAAGTAGTAGGATTATAATTTGTGCTTCGATCATACATTTTACATATGGGAGTGGACAAATTGCAAAAACATTACACAGAACCTTGTTTCTACACTTCACAACTTATATCCATAAAACATATTTGGGGCAATGACGTGCCCCAAGGCACTTTGCAAGAGCAATGTAAAACAAAATATGACCCTGAGCCACATAAGGAGAGATTTGACCAAGATTTTGGTGATTTGACCCAAAAAGTTTTAAGAAAGGTCCTAAAGGAGGCAGACTACAGATATAAGGAATGAACAAACCATGGACAGATCTGAAACTGAAGGTGAACATTTTGAAGTCGAGTTATTGCTTAATGCGGAGTGAACGTAGGTCTGCAAGCAGAAGGGTTACATGTAGCAAGTTAAGAAGTTGACAGCAAAGCTTTGGATAATCTTACATGTGAGGGTGGAATGCGAGACAATAGCCAGAGGTGCACTGAAATGATCAAGTCCAGAAGCAACAAAAGCATAAATTAGGGTTTCAGTAGCACATCAACTGAGACGGAGGCAAAGTTATGAGGTAGAAATAGGTAGTCTTAGAAATGATGATATACAAGGTTGCAGCTCTTCTTGAGTATCAGATGTGACAACAAAGTTATGACAAACTGACTTAATCTTAGATCATTATCAGGAAAAGAGATGGAGTCAGTAGAAAGGGAATGGAGTCTGTAGTGGAAACTATAAATTATCACAAAGCCTCTGCTCACCCAATACTGGATGCTGGATCAGAATTCAACAGTCCAGCAACAATGGATAAATTGAGGGAAGTGCTGACAAGGTACAGCTAGGTGCCATCAACATAAATATCAAAACTAATGCTGCTTTTTGGAATATGTCACTGAGGGACAGCATATTGTGATACTGTAAACTTCAAAAATTTAATCACTGTTCAGGGATCAAAAGAATCAGCAATACTACTTTCTGGAATAAATTTTATAAAGGAATTAAAAGTAATATGCCAATTAACCATCACTGGGAAGGAGTCGAAGCAACTTAAACAAGCTGTTTCCTGGGAGACAGGTGGTAAGAACTGCTTGATAACTTGCTGCCTTATGACAAAAGGGCAAACAAGATTTCCTGCAGAAGGAATTTCCTCAGATGAAGGGATTAATTGCAAGAAAGTTGTGTTTCAAACAAACAGTTAATAACAAATGTAACAAGGAAGAAGGAAGCTACTCTTGATAAGAAGGCAAGCCACAGACTTGATGACTCCAGAAGTGTAATCAATGTTGTGGATGAAGGATCATCAATAACGTCACATTAGAAACTTCACAAGACAAGAAGATCCTGTAAGAATTTAACTTCAAGATTCTTCAGTGGCTGAACTCCAGACAATAGCATGCCACAAGGATCGAACACTGGACATCTAGAGACACATGCTGTTGATTAGAATCGTAGCAAAGTTCCACCATTAATTGGGTAATAGCTAAATTGAGTTGTGAGGATTAACTTGCTTACTTAAGTGGACTTATTTTGGTTGCTACATGCAATAAAATTTAAGTAACTGTTTCAATATTTGATTGTCTGTGAGATTTCTTAGTAAGTAGCCGAATTAAAGGTAGCTTGTGGTAATTTACATACAACAATATAGTTAAGAAATAGGAGGGGGATCAAGGATTGATCTTTGGGAATACCACAGATAACAGGAACAGAACGAGAAGCCATTGAAAATGATTCCCTGGCTCCAATTACATTAGAATGGAACTAGGGGAGTGCGGTTAGAAGACTGATGTACTGCAGGAGGATTTTGTAGTCGACTCTGTCAAAAGATGCTGACAGGCTGAAAAGTACAAGGATAGCAAGTTTACCTTTGTTACAGTCATAGTGAATGTCATTTGAGATTTTGATGGGAGTAGTTTTAAAGGGCAGAAAGCTCAGTGAAGGCCTTCAAACGTGAAGTTGTGTCAAAGATGAGAATGGATTTGGAAGGCAGCAACACATTTAAGTATCTAGGGGGAGGAGGAAGCAGCTGGAAATTTTGTAACATCTGGGGTTTGCATCAAATTTACTTGTTAGAATTTGATCAATTACTATTACAGACCAAGTTGGAATATGATGGGATGGTAGTTTAAAAGGGCAGTTGGGGGAGCCAAGGGCTGGTTTCTTGAGGATGTGATATTGACATGTTTAGACAGAGACTTGAACAGGGAAAAGCATTAACAAAATTGACTAACATGGAGACAAGGAGGGAATATTGGGTGGTCAGCAAGTTTGGATGCATTGTAAGTTTCCTTGTAATATTCAAAGGTCACTTTTTTGAGAAGACTCAGGACTCCGAACTACTCTAATATAATGAGGGATTTTTTCTCATCACTGCTGCCATTTTATCCCTGGATTGCCCCCTGCCCAGAGGCAGAGTGCCAGATAAATCAGCCTCCCCCATGGGCATTGGATACCCCTCTTAATCAGGCACTACCCTCCTATGAAGGTGCCACCTCTTACTGAACCTGGCAAGCCCCAGCCCCATTCGAGTTGTAGCCTAAACGGTCAATGCAACATTGAACCAGACTTCCAGCCCCTTGTTGGGGGCACCGCAACCTTAATTAATTTCAGCCCAGCAGCTCAACCAGTGACAGAACTGACTGAGCTGTTCTTGCATGCGGACCCGATTTGCATGCTTTCAATTAGTACATTTCGATGGTAGCAGGTGGAAAAGAGAAGATATAGTGACTGGGACTGAATAAATCTAACACCGTGTCTAAATCTTAGATGCGTATTTATGCTAAAAATGAAAACTGGATTTCAAGTTTATCTAGTTTAAATAAGAGTCATGTTGAAAATTTGTTGTATGGAATTACAGAATCAAATTGTCCTTGAGAGTCAACTTGTAGGTTGAAAAATGCACCATAAGTAGAAAATACAAATTTACTTAATTATTCATATGACGTTTTAAAATATGATAATCCCCACATTTATCAACACATTTTTCAATGCAACAGATCCCTCAGGTTGAAAAGAAACCCTTACCTATTGATTCAATTTGAAAAGTGAATGTTAGTTCTGAAGACAGCTTTCTGCTTGATTTCAATCTACCTCGGAGATTTACAATCTTTAAACATCCTAGCATGTTAAAGCACAAAAGAGAAACAAATAAGTAATTGAATGGTACCATTTTGGTACATTTCCAAAGATGGAGTATCAAAATAGTTCCTTGAAGTGTTCCAAATACATGTGAAAAAATATTATTCTTGCCAATTAACTAACCATGAACCGTTTCTTGAAATAGGCATATCAATTAGTATTCATTTTCAAAATTAATTTTCAAAATATTATTTAACAAGTATGTCTGGTAGGATTGGTTAGGCAAGTGTGAATATTTATCACCTTAATTTTTGTCACAAAGATGACTTAAGTGTAAAATTAGTTTTAATCCATGTTTCAATAAGCATGGTGTATAGATGAAGCTATACTCTCATTTTCTAACTGAAAAAGTTGTATCAAGTGATTACCTATTAAAAATACATCTCAGGTAAATCAGCTGAGCTAACCTACCTTAAAATATGACTTAGATAATTCTTGCTTCATTTTACCATGTCTTCTATAAATCCATGTGGATTAAACTAAACAGGGTCCAAATTAGCACTGTAAATACTCTATCTACTTTTAATGATGCCTCAACTGAAGAGGAGGTGAATCTTCTTTTGGTATGGGGAAATTTTGATTTATGGTTTTTTTAAATCAACAGTCAGCTATGGCCTTAGATTACACAACCAAGCTTTTTCAGTAGATAATAGCTTGAGCAGAAAACCCCGGATTGCGAGTGCTTCTGTCATGTATCGTAATTGGTGTTTGGGCCAGTGTCCCTGTAAGACATCGGTCACATGACACTGGCAAGTCATCAGACAAGTTTGCAAGCATGCTTACGCTTGTTTGAGCCTGTGCAGAATACACAGCTTCAGAATAAAATCTCCCTGTTGGGTTGCAGACAACAATGGGTTCACATTATTTAATTCCAGCTGCAGCCTTGTAATTGCCCAGTACAGAATACCTTCTAATAAACAGTATCTTTAATAAATTCATAATAACCAAAGGATTTATTTATTAGCTGTTATTTTTGTGACACAGATGCAGTTAAATGAATGCTGCTTGACCACGTAAATAACTAGAAGGTTAAATCCATGTTGCACATTTTCCAAAACCTATTGGAACAAGGGAGTAAGTGATGCACATATTAATTTAAGGTTAACTAAATTAAATAAAATTACTAAATAGAATAAAATGTAAATAAATTAATTTGGTGTGAATTGATTGAATAAATGTGGGGAGTAAGTAATCCATGGGATTAGAGTTTATGGAATGTGGTTAACTGAAATAAAGCTCTCACCAGAAGTGTGGACTTGGAATCTAAATATAATTGTTATCTTCAAGAGTATAACACTATTAACTATTTAAAAAAAGAAGCCCGAAAGTACGATATTGAATTTTTTTCTAAAAATCAAAATCTACAATGTGAAAGGGAGAAAAAAATTGAGATGCTATACAGTACTTTTGAGCTCTGCCCTTTCATTTCTAAGGCATGGGTTGGATGCTAACTTGGGCTAACTGAATTAAAACCTCGCTGCTAAGGTGAACTGTCCTGGATGAAATGACCTGAGGTAATCTCAAATCATTATCTATTAGGTTGGATCAGCAGCGCATTCACAATGCTGGCTACAACTGAGAACAGACTGGTACTAAATTATTAATTTTGCTTAGAAGGGCCATTAAAAACAAAAAAGCAATAGTTGAAAACACAGAAATAAACACACTGATATGAAGGTTAATTTGAAGGCATATCAGGTGAAGGAGAAAAAAAGCTTTATTTTTTCCAGAAATGCTTGACTGATGCTCGCACTGGGTGCTAATAGTTTATCACTTAACCACAGAAGGACGCTATTCTGTTATTTATGTCTGTGCCAGCTCCTGAAAGAACTATAGCACCAATTCACCAATTCACTCAAATATCTACATGTAATAAAAAGCTAATTATAGAATATATTTTTCGATATGGTACTGTTTTAAAAAAATGATACAGCCATTTTTTTAAAAAAAAACTTACGATCCATGCAGACTATTATTGTATCTCTTTCTAGCTGGGTTACATGGATAACATTTGCCTGTGGCATATCTGTAACAAATGATAAAACAGCATTACTCATCTGCAGCATATTTACAGCTTTTGTCTAAACATTTATTTTTCCTGTGAAACAGACCAGAGACTATGAACCAGTGGAAATTGCTCAGGCTTTGCAGGGACTTTTTAAATTCATATTTTTCTCGTGAGTGAGCAGTGGTGATTAAAGGCAGCTCTATTCTGACAAGGTGAACAGATATCTCTATGTTTCCTTTCAACTTGAACACAAAGAAATTGTAATGTTAATTTTCTAAACGCCAGACTAAATTATTGATGTGAACTAATACATGCAGTACAAATAAACTTAAAATTAAAACCTGAACCTTTTAAACAGGTTTCAGTAAATACTCACATTTGCCTCTCAACTGATCTGGAGGAAGACAAGAAATGAGGCAAAGTTGCAGAATACGCATCTAATCCCACAAATCACAAACTAGTCTATCCTCAATTTCCTTCCACAATTGAGTTGTGTGGTTCCATACAGCACAGGAAGCATCATATTCATGAAATTTCCAATTGCTTATGGATGGTAAAAGCAACATGGTGTTACATGGTGCATTTGCCTTTTGCACAGGAACTTGGATGATAATGCAAAATAAATTTGCATCTTCAAAAAGTGAAAGTAACCACTTAAATATCATATTATAGCACCCTCGAGCTAAATGTTGATAATAACAGCACCACACATGGGCTGTTGCAAAGCATACTACCTCTTTTCATTGCATCATAATGAGGAAGTAACAACGACAAACTTTGTGCACCAATCCATTTTTAAAATCGTGGAACAAGACTAAGTTAAATGTGCAGTTATACAAGACTGTATAGAAAGAAGCTGCTGTCTTGTTCAAATCCGATCTTTATCAGTTTCTCCTGACCATACCAAACGTACTGTGTGGAAAACGTCTCCTTAGTCACCTTTACTTAGCTAATAAAGGCTACATAGACTGTGCTGTAAATATAAACTAAGAAATAGGAAAGATATTGCAAACAACAAAACATCGAGAGATTTTTACCCTAATCTTCTCATTGCTGCCCCCTTCTTTCTCCTCCTCACACATCCAGAAAAAAAAAACAAGCTATACAAATCTCTCCTATCAAGAGCAATAGTGGACAAATTGGAACCAGGTCTCTGCTGTTCTAATGTTACTTTGTTCAAAAAACTTAAAGCAAATCTGTTTTACTTTGGTTGCTTGACTTACATTTTCTTCACATAATATACAAAATGTTATGGTAACTGACAATATATTTCCAAACCACTCCAAATAAACTCGAGTAAATAAAAATCATTTGCCATTATGTTTATCTGTATTAAATGAGAACTGACATACCTGTTTCAGTAAACCAACATGAAGTAGAATTTGGATTAACAGTTTCAAATCGTACTACTTGGTTAAGTTCTGTTCCTTTACTAACAGCAACACATAACAGGGGATATTCTTGCTCTGGAACCACTAGCAGTTCAAAGACTTTCAATGGATTTGGCAGAGGAAAGTCAACATGCTAGGACAAAAACAGAAGATTCATGCTTTATATTACATTGCCTGGGTGTGCCAAATACAAATTCCTCATTTCAGATAATTAATTTAAACTATTATTTAAAATAATGTCCTATTTATACTTATGAACTAAACAAACTAGGTCTCTGGTAAATAAATTTGAATTTCCTAAAATAAAGACAAGAAAAAAACAAACCAAGTTTGGGGATTTTGGGGAGAACAGTTCAAGGCAAGATCTATAAAGAAACAGATTTTCATAACCTCAATTTAAATTACAAATGTTGATTGTGCAGATATGAATTACAGATGATGAAGTCTGCATATCTCACACCAGTAAAAACATCCATCCAACTCTTTCCCACTACCCCTCAGCCTTGCATCATGTTTTCCCTGGACAAAGTTTTCTAAAAATTTAGATCAATAATAAATCATTAGACATTTCCCAACCATTGTTAGGTTGACTAGGCCACAACGCATAAGACAAAAGGGTAAATGTAAACAAATAATAGCACGAATTTTACAAACAATCGTGTAAAATAGCATAGTAATTTAATGCCAAAGGTTAAAGCCAGAGGACTGCAGAATTGCAAATGTTGCAGCTCTGTTCAAACATGCTGAGTATAATAAGCTCCGTTACTAGCCTTTCATTTTACAGGAAAAAGTAAAGCCACATTTCAGACTTTGGACTGAACATCACTTGTAAATGTTTCACTTACTTTGATTAACATAAACTTTTGCATTTGCTCAACCCATTCCAACAGGACGATGCTGGATTGCAATGCACCGCAAAGGTATTTGTGTCCTGTGTAAGGATTTCTTACTGTAACAAACAATAAGCAACTTAGTATGTTTTCCAGTCAGTACTGAAGAGGAATACAATTAATTACAGGATACCTAACAGGAAAATAAAGTTAAATCCAGATAGAGGTGAGATAGAAAATTTTGGTAGGAAACGACTGTTCCATCTTGAACCTTCATTTTCTCTCCAAAGTACTGGAACATCCAGTAATCATCTCTAGATCTGATCCTATTTTTTCCCCTGAAACTCCTCATTTGAATCTCTCCAATCAGGTTTCCGCCTGTGCCAAAGTGCCAAAACAGCTCTTATCAAAATCAAAAATGACACCCTACATGACTGTGACAAAGGTAACTTTCCTTTCTCTCCATCTCAACTTATCTGCAGCCTCAAACAGTCAAACACTCCAGCTTCCTCTGCACCATTGTCTTGCTAAGCAGGACTGCCTACAATATTTTACCTACCCAATCACTGCTGAAGAACTACTTGCATTAGTGCTCTATGGTCCGGAACTGCTACCACTGGTGTCTTCCAAGGATTGATCCTGGGCCCCTCCTAATTATCAACTACATGCTTATCATCCAAAAGAACAGTTTACAGATGTATGATTAAAACAGTCTACTTGTCTACTGTTGCTCTAGACTCTACTGTTGCTCAATAACCAGGTTGCTTGTCCGACACTCAGTACTGAAAGCATAAATTTTCACCAATTAAATATCTGAAAGACTGAAGTGATTGATTTTATTCTCTGTTCCAAAATTTGTTTCCTCATTCCCAGCAACTGACTCGTGGCTGGTTTCCTGTGGTGGAATAAGAGGTAAACACTTGTGATCGTCCAAATCTCTGCTCCCTATAACTTAAACTGTACTAAATCCCATTCATTGATCACCCCATGCTCACTGAGTTCCTGTCAAACAATATCTTGATTTTTAAATTCTTAAAAGCTTTCAAACCCTCCCATGGTCTGGCCTGTCCCAACTTCAACTCTTCAATTCTCCAAGATACCTGCTTTCCTCTAAATTTTCTTCTTGAGCAACCCCAATTTTAATCTCTTCAGGTTTGCCTTCAGTTGCCTTAGCCCCTTAAAAGCTACCCCTGACCAAGCTTTTGGTTATCTGACATTATGTGGCATGGCATCATTTTGTGTTTATATAATCATTCACTCTGGAACACCCTCGGATGTTTTATTACATTGAAAGTGCTATTAAAAATAAAGTTATTTTTGTTGGATAATTGTGAATTTTTGGAATTCTCTACCTCAAAGGGTACTGAGATTACAAGATTGAAAGAAATAATAGGGATTGGGCTGCAAAGTGGAGTTCATGGACAAGATCACTGAATGGTGGTACAGCCTTGAAGGACTGTACAGTCTATCTCAGCTCTTAACTTTCACATTCTTGTTCTCAACTTGACTGAGACCAATACTATATGGAGATAATCAAGAAAATATTTCCTTACCTACACAACATTTTTGGCAGCCTTTTGTATCTGGAATTTTTGTAGATACAGCAAATTTCCTAGAAAATAAATTTAACAATCAGATGCCATTTCATTCAATCTTTATGGTGTACATTTATAATTAATAATAGTTCCAAGCTGTTAGCAGATCATCAAGTCAGAGATCAACTTAGATTGATAACAAGAACAAGGTGCAATAATTGGTCATGCAGTACTGATGTAGGATAAGCTATCCGATAATTTGGAAACAGTGAAGGCGTTGAGGAACATAGTAGGGAGGCAAACTTGGCCATCAGTGAAAACAAACGCAGTGCTTGCAGATGATGCCCCTGAGGCACAACCTGTGGATGAGAAGTAGGAAGGGCCAATGACAGATTCTCAGAATAGGAACTAAAGAGTTAGTGCTGCAGAAGTTGGAAGAGACCAATTACAAGTGACACTCTGGCCAAAATTAGATAGACAAGAATGTCACGAAAACAGATCACAATTCCGAATTACATTTGGATATTTTAAATTTTTACAATATTTTAACAAATTTTAACAATAAGAACTTTTAAAAGAAAGACAAAATCTGAGAGATGGCCGAGGTGTAAACTCAATGGCTGTGTAAAATCCCTTAGTATCAAGGGAGCTTCAGACAGCAACACTTCAAAGAAAGGAATGAACTGAACCCCCGTGATCTCCTGTGGGTTGTGTCCCAGACAGCAGACATGATACAAGTTGGAACAAAACCTAATTCTAAGCAAAAGACAAGAATACACAACAAAAGGAGATTAAAAAAGCATCTCCAATCCCTTGTCTCTGTGACCTAATGAGCTGGCGTGCTAGTATGTGGTTCAAATTCCATTGCTCTAAAATGTGCTCTAAAGGGGCACAGTTAAAAAATTTCACAAGAACATTGCTGCCTGTGCAGCTAACAGGAAATAAAGTATCTGCTGTAAAAAAAAGTCATCAGCATAGCCACTGTTGAAGGAAGCGGGACAAAGTCTTTTCAGCTAATCTGCACGAATGTGTCCTTATTTTGTTATCTTTTCTCGCATTTTAGTAACTAACAAACTCACTCTTTTTTGACTCAGGAAAGCCTGGTTAAATTGGCTCATTTAAAAAAACAAATTTATTTGGCTGGGAAAAGGTAGCCATAAGGGAAGGCATTTGTTTCTTTAAATTAACCTTGTTGTGGCCAACCAAGGGAGGGGAGAGTAAAGAAGGGGAACCAGCATATTCCTCCCAACCAAGGAGCATAACTGTCTGGGAATATCCCATTTGGAATTGTAATTAGTTGCAGACTCTCATCCAGAGACCAGTTATAATGAGAAAGGAGCCAGGAAAGTGCAATTCTAACAGTAAGATGTTGGAGGAGGTTGATATGATCAACTGTATCAAAGATTCTAGACAGGTTCAGAATGACATGGGGAAATGGTTTATTTTTGTCAAAGTTATACAGTATGTCATTTGTGACACTGATGAGATATTTTGGTATTACGACAGAGGCAGAAACCTCAGGGCTTCAAACACTGAAGGTCTGAGAAATACAGGCAGTTATTTTATGGACTGGAGAAAGGTATACAATGCTGTTCCCCAGGGAAACCTACAAGGATCAGGTGGTAGACATGCTCACTGATCCAGTAGGTTTGGTTGCAAACGTTTTGTCACCCTGCTAGGTAACATCATCAGTGCGCCTCCGGCGAAGTGTCAGTGTTCTGTCCCCCTTGTTATTTATGTGCCTTGGTTTGCTGGGGTGGTTGGTATTACTTCCGGTTCTGTTTCTCAGTGGTTTGTACACAGGGTCTAATTCAATGTGTTTGTTGATGGAGTTCCGGTTGGAACACCAGGCCTCCAGGAATTCTCTGGCATGTCTCTGTTTGGCTTGTGCAATTATGATGTGTTGTCCCAGTCAAATTAGTGTCCCTCAGTGTCCGTGTGTAGTGAGTCAAGTGAGAATTGGTCGTGTCTCTCGGTGGCTGGTTGGTGTTCATGTATCCATGTTGTCAGTTTCCTTCTGGTTTGGCCTATGTAGTGTTTCTCTAGTGCTCCTGTTCTACTTTGCGTAGTTCCGGGTTGCTGGCAATGTGTTGTAGCTTGTTTAAATCCTGTCCTGATACAGCTCCGTTTGTGGGCATTGAGGTGGTTACTTGAGTATCGAGTCTGTATGTGTGGTCTTTCTATATATGCTAATCTGAGTTCCCCGTTGTTTTTGCGTTCTACCATTATGTCCAGGAATCAATACTAAAGAACAACAGACTCACGGAAGAAGTACAACAGACCCTCAGACAGACGACAGTCCCAATACTGAGCAAAAAAGGAAAGTCAAACACATTCAACACAGAAGACAGGAAAGCCCTAGAAAGACTCAAGAAAGACAGGAACACTGTAATCTTACCAGCGGACAAAGGACGCATAACAGTAATCCTCAGTAGAACCTGATACATGGAGAAAGCTAACGCACTACTAGTAAATACCGATACCTACCAACAGAAGGGAAAAGACCTGACACCACAGTTAAGGAACCGGACTACAATGACTCTGAAGAAATTACAAAACTCCGGAGACATTGGGGTCCTCAGGCCTGCTGTCTCACTGCCAGGCACACCAATATATAGACTTGCCAAAGAACTACAACAGATATTGAAATACTTAGCGGACAACACTACCCACTCCATCCATTCATCCCAAGAACTCCTGAACATCATCAAGGACATGAGGAAAGAAGAGGATGAGATGATGATATATCCTTCGACGTAACAGCACTATTTACATTCATAAACATCGACCTAGCCAAAGAAACAATTACCACACTACTGGACGAATCAAGTAGGACACCATCATCATCAATAAGGACACCACCATGAAACTACTAGATCTACGCCTCGCAAGCCACTTCACTTTCAATGACAGCATACACAAACAAATCAACGGAACACCAATGGGATCCCCAATATCAGGACTGATTGCAGAAGCAGTAACGCAAAGGTTAGAACAGACAGTGCTCCCCACTATACAACCCAAACTTTGGGTCCAATATGTAAATGACACCTTTGTGATTATCAAACGCACAAAACTAGAAGAAACCCACCGACACATAAATATCATCCTTACCATGATAAAATTCACGAAAGAAGAGAACGAAAACCGACTACTCTTCCTGGACATATGGTAGAACGCAAAAACAATGGGTAACTGCAGACGAGTGTGTATAGAAAGACCAGACAAACAGACTAGATACTCAATTACACTAGCAACCACCCCAACACCCACAAACGGAGCTCCATCAGGACACTATGTAAACAAGCCACAACACATTGCCAGCAACCCGGAACTACGCAAAGTAGAACAGGAGCACCTATATGGAGTCTTCAAAAGGAAAGGATACCCGAAAAGCACAATCCACCAGGACCTCCGAGACACACCATAACAGGAAGACCCAACACAACCAGACTCACTAATCACCCCACTGTACATCAAGGACATTTCAGAGATGACCACAAGATTACTCAGACCCCTAGGTATCAGAGTAGCCCACACTCTGACATCCACCCCATGACAGTTACTGACAAATGTAAAGGATCGCATACTCAAAACCAGCAAAACTGGGGTAACGTACAAAATACCATGCAAGGACTACAGAAACACTACATAGACCAAACCAGAAGAAAAGTGACAATACAGATACATGAACACCAACTAGCCACCGAGAGACACGACTAATTCTCACTTGACTCACTACATATGGACAATGAAGCACACAAATTCGACAGGGGCAACACATCCATAATCGCACAAGCCAGAGACATGCCAGGGAATTCCTGGAGGCCTGGTATTCCAACTGGAACTGCATCAACAAACATATTGAATTAGACCCTGGTGTACAAACCACTGAGAAACAGAACCGGAAGCAATTCCAACACTCCCAGCAAACCGGGGACAGAACACCAACGCTTCAGCACTGACAATGTTACCTAGCAGGGTGACGAAACATTTGCAACCAAACTCACCAACTTGGGGAGCATGTCTAAAACCTCATTCACAACCCGAGCTACAAATTTTCTTAAAAACCTACAGGGACTACTGTTACAAGCCAGTTAGGAAGGGTGAACTGATTCATTCCTTGTCCCATTTCTCCACTGGTCATAACAAAGTTCAAATTTAGAGAGAGAAAGACATGATACTGCCAATTATATTTATGTCAGACTGTATGTGGATCATTATCAGACATAAGTCAGCCGAGTTTCTAAGTAACAAATGAAGAACTAGTTAATTGCAAAAACATTGCAAAGAGATAAAGATTGGTAACAAAGATTTAAACATACAATTACCCTTCTTGAAAAATAACAAACACAGTCTCGAAACTTGGCGAAAAAATAAAAACCCTAGAAAATGTTATTTTGAAAGTATTTTACTCACAGGCAAAAAAAACTATTTGTGTAGTATTCAAACTTTGGTCTACAGCCAAAGCCATTTAACACATGAACTAGACAGTGGAGCCTTTCTGGATTACTTGTAGCTGACTTTCCTGGAGACAGTGTTGTAGACATTGAATTAGTTTTTAGGAGAATGTTATTATTTTAGGAAGACTTGACTTGCAACGATGAGAACTTCTAGTGAATTCTCATCTCTTTTAGCTTGGAGAGGGACTGGATTTTAGAGAAAAAGAGGGGGCAAAGGCTGAATTTCCAGGCAAGTTCTCTCTCGGAGTCACTGAACCCAAATCTCTGATGTTCCTCCACAGATGCTGCCAGACCTGCCAAGTTTTCTGATTTGATTTGATTTAATTTCCAGCACCTGCAGTTCTTTAGTTTTTGTTTTAAGTTCTCCCTCTGGCTGTGTTAAAATCCAACAGCTTTATTATATTCAAACTGGGTCATGTGACCTCTTCTTGAATACACTGTAGACTTAGTGACTGCAGTTGAGAAGCATATACTGTTTGCAAATCCATCAATTTGTCCTTCTGTAGCCAGTCTATTTTGCTTCACAAAGTACGCTGTCCAAGATATGGATATATTTCTAGTCAATTATATCCTAAAATAATATTTCAGGTAAGGGAAACACAAACAATAGGAAG